CCAAACCCGCTGCAGTTTCCTCCATTCTTATGTTCTTATATACACCGTGATGTGACCCCACCCCGCATATCTGCACCCTCCCAATTCCTGCCCTCCGGGCCTCACCTCACCTCTCCTCAGTGATCTCACCTCACCTCACCCATGCCTGCATCTGGCGTGTGGCGCGCTTATTGCCTGAGTCACTTGACTCACTTCCTGGTTTTGGGAATGTTTTTGGAATTACAATTTTGAGAATAAAAAGTGGGGGGGGGGGGCCAACCCAGGGGCCAGCCCAAAATCTAGGGGGGCCATGGCCCCCCTGGCCCCCTCGTAGAATCGCCCCTGGATGTATAATGTGTGTCTTCGGTATTGTTCCCTCTTTCAGCCCATCCATGTGTCATTACCTGCCTCCTGTACCTAACCTAACATTGTTTCTTTGATGTTGTCAGATGCGCAGCGTAAGTGTTGTTGTGGCGGTGCTGGCTGTGTCCTGGCTGTGTGCTGTTCAAGCTACTCCCTTGATAGGCGCGTCTGCCATGTGTGCCCTGGCTGTCCTCAAGGTGGCCAACTTTGTTGGTTTATCTGACCGCCGCCCCATAAGAGATCTCCGGAAGCGAAGTAGCCAACGTCACAGCAAAAGTAGTTCTCGTCGTATTCGTCCTGGTCGGGCCATCCAGAGCGCCGCTGACGAGGGTCAGAACTTGTTGCTGTCCACTGTTGGCCAGCTGGACCCCAATGGTTGTGTTCTGAAGCTGCTGTGTATACTGGAGGCGAAGGAGGAGGCGTACCGCACCCTGGAGGAGGCCAAGACTCTCACCTCCTACAACGCCGCCTTCGTGTACGCCACAGACGTGGGTGGCAAGACTCGGGACGCCGCCGCCTGCCGCCACCACCACTTCCCCAAGTGCCCGCTCACTGACGACCAGCTGAGCGGCCTCCTCCAGCAGGCCTGGGGCTGTGGCCTTGACTTATACGACGACCAGCAGGAACCACAAACTGCTGACCAGGACAACACACCTCCTGCTGACCAGGACAACACACCTCTTGCTGGCCAGGACAACACACCTCCTGCTGATCAGGACAACACACCTCCTGCTGACCAGGACAACACACCTCCTGCTGTTCACCTACAGTAGAACACGAACTCTAACAACCTCGTTACTGTATATGTAATCCATTTAACAGGTCTTTAATTAACATTATGGTAGAGGAAGGTGGTTATATTATGTGTGTTAATCGCTGGTGGTATAATTACAATGTCATTGATAATACTTAACTATTACTGGACATTTACCTTGCTGATGTGTGCATTTATCTCCAATGTTCTCATTTTACGGCAATAATCTATTTTTCGCTCTTAGTAAATCAATAGACATTTGTGTTTAATTTTTAGCATTACATCCAGTGTGTGTGCGCTTGCGCGCGTGTATGTGTTGCCTCTGAAGATGTCTTGAATAAAGTCGAAAGCTAAGGTTCTCTCCATTGTTTCCCTTTCCCCTGTGTAATTTTATCAAGAGTTATCTTACCCACGTTTCCATTGTGGATCTACATGAAGTATGTGTGCGTGTGTGTGAAATCAATTATTTGAATTTTGCCACGGACAGCAGCTAGTTTTTTGTGCACCCCATACTCTTCTTATGAGCGGTAGCGCAAAAAGGATTACAGAGTAGAGGCCACAAAGGGTGTTTATCAGACCCCAGTGGTCATAATATTACGGATTGAGTGTTACAGAGTATTTCCAGTGAATTGTTTATTTACGTCGGTACACATGATTATGATTAGCTACTAGATGCTAAATAAGAACATAAGAACATAAGAAAATAAGGAGTCTGTAATAGGCCGGTTGGCCTGTGCATGGCAGCTCCTGTCGAGAGTTACTACCACTCTCTATCATCCATGAATCTATCTAGCCTCCTTTTGAAACTTTCCAGAGTTCCCACACTTACTACAAAGTTGCTAAGCTTGTTCCACTCGTCCACCACCCTATTTGTGAACCAGTTTCTTCCTATCTCCCTCCTAAACCTAAACTTATCCAACTTGAATCCGTTGCTCCGAGTCCTATCCTGCTCGGATATTATAAGAACTTTATCTATATCCCCTTTATTGATTCCTTTCACCTACTTAAATACTTCTATCATATCTCCCGCACTCTTCGTCTTTCTAGGGAATGCAAGTTAAGTTTCTTTAACCTATCCTGATATGGAAGGTTTCTAAGTCCCGGAATCATTTTTGTCATTCTTCGCTGCACCGACTCTAGTGAATTTATATCCATTCTATAATAGGGGCACCAGAACTGAACCGCATAATCGAGGTGCGGCCTAACTAGCGCAAGATATAGTTGCAATAAGACCTCTGCACTCTTGTTACTTACACTTCTAGATATAAAACCCAATACTCTGTTTGCCTTATTTCGAACATTAACGCACTGCTTTCTAGGCCGTAGGTCCGGGCTTACAAGTACCCCTAGGTCTCTTTCACAAGTCGACTTCTCTAGGTTGATGTTGTTAAGATGTGGATACAGCCTTA